ATCCAAAATAAAAGTTTTTGTTTACATAATATGTGTGTGTGCTGTTTATTTTTATGCATGCATGTATGTGTGTGTATTTATAAAGGCATAATAAATATACACAGTACACACATATATTACGTAAACAAAAGCTTCTATGTGGATTAATCGCGATTAATAGTTTGACAGCACTACTTCAGATGCTGCAGAGCTCTCAGAACGTGCTATTTTTGACTTTGATTTTAATGTTTTAAAATTTTGATATAGCTTTTTTTTATTATTATCTATAGTTCCTTGCGAAAGTATTCATACCCCTTCATTTTTTTCACATTTTGTTAAGTTGCTGCCTTATGCTAAACTGCTTTAAATTATTTTTTTTACACATCAATCTACACTCCATACACCATAATGGTAAAGCAAAAAATGGTTTTTAACATCTTTGCAAATGAATTAAAAATAAAAAACTTAAATGATTCCATTGCATAAGTATTCATCTGGGACAGTTGAGGTTTAGCTCAGGAGCATTCATATTGCTTGTAGATGTTACATTACTTTTTTCCCCACATCGATCTACACTCCATACACCATAATGGTAAAGCAAAAAACTGGTTTTTAACATCTTTGCAAATTTATTAAAAATCAAAAACTTTAATGATTCCATTGCATATATCATGTTTGAAGGAAACCAGCTCTGCTCATCACCTGCAGAGTACCATCCCAAAAGTAAAGTGTGCTGGTAGCAGCCTCATGCTGAGGGGCTATTTTTCAGTGGCAGGGACCGAGGGACTCGTCAGAGTAGAAGATGAGCTCAATGCATCAAAATATAGAGACAGCCTTAATGAAAACCCAGTCCAGAGCATTCAGAACCTCTGACTGGGCGGAAGTTTCCTCTTTCAACAGGACAATGACCCTAAGCACACAGCAAGAGAGGCTTATAGACAACTCTGTGAATGTCCTTGAGTGGCCCAGTTCCATCCTGGGCTTGAACCCAATCAAATAATTCTGGAGAAACTTGAAAATATGCGTCTGCCCCCATCCAACCTGACAGAGCTTGAGAAGAATGGCAGATAATTGCCAAATGATGATGATCAGAGCTTGTCGCATTAAACAAAAAAGACTTGAGACTGTAAATGTGCTTCAGCTAAATATTTAGTTAAGGGTATGAATACTTATGCAATGTACTTATTTCAGTTTTTATATTTTTAATAATTTTACGAAGTTGTGACAATTCTGATTTTGCTTTGTCAGTATGGTGTATGGAGTGTAGATTGATATGGGGGAAAAAATTATTTAAAGCAGTTTAACATAAGGCAGCAACATAACAAATTGTGAAAAAATTAATTCAAGGCACTGTATAAATCAAGTAAAGTATTAGAACAGTCCATGCGGATTGTCTGCAATTTTTTATACTAATATTCTTTAGTATCTAATATCTAGTTTTCAAAATGTCTGGCCATAATTCTGTGACAAATAATATTATAACCAAAAAAACATTAAACACATTTAATAAAATAATATTATAAACAAAAAAATGTATTCTTAGTATTATATTAGTATCATAAGTTATTTATATCGATTTTCTGTAAATATATATATACATAAAAAACATAAAAATGAGAACGAAATCACCTGTTAAGCTTGTTTTCAGAAAATTAAAAAATATATATTTATAAAATAATGAATTTGTATTACAAACATAATATGATTAATATTATAATTAATTATATAATTGTATTATTATCATAAAATGAATACAGTCATATTTTATTTAATATAATTTTAATTGAAAAATACACTTAATTTTAACTTTAAAATGTTTAAATTATAAATTATTAATATTTGAAGCCGTATTATTTCAAAATATCAAATTATTTGAATATGAAATTAATTTTAATGCATACTTAAAATGTATTATAATAAAATGAATACATTAATATAACAACAGTTGAAATTATAAATTATTAATATTTTAATCTTTTATTATAGTATTGTATCTTAAAATATAATTAAATAATATTCGTGGTTTTAAAATATTATTGTGTTTTACAATGTAATGTAAACTTATTTATAGCATATTTATAACGTTGATATTTATATAATAATATACATATTTAAAATGTTTAACAATTTTAAATTTCACTAGACTAGACGTCCCAAATGATGCACTATGCACTTATACACTATGTACTTATGCACTATGCACTCAATCATGTAGAGTATGAATTATATAAGGTTATTTTGTCATTCATAATCGGAGTCTGGTAGCCCCTCCCCCTTCGCTACATTGTTGCAGTTGAGTGCATGAAGCGTCCAACATTCCACACTTCATTTTTTTCGGGTATTTAAAGTGCACTTTTTCTTTTTGGAATTACTCGCACTATTCAAACTACAAAACGTCATAGAATAGTGCATAAGTACGCGATTTGGGACGCACCTCTAGACTAGTTTAGTGTAGTATTTGACATCTTTCGGCCTGCTAAACCCCGTTTTTGTAAAGAAGAGCCCTCAGTTGTCGACCTCACGATCTGCCTACTAATAAGTTCCCACAGATCCGTTTGACACGCGTCAGATGCGTTTCCTCCTCAGCTCATCTTATCTGAAACCTGCTGCGTCCTCTGACCTTCAGACTGTGACCTTTGACCTGCTGCTTCTGGAGAGATCAGATTCTGATTCAGTTCTGTTAGACAATCACATTAACCATCTTATATATTCTTCCAGTTGATTTGGTAACATTTACATGTTCATGTATCTTTGGTGCGGTTTGCGAAGTTAAGTAGAGGTGTGAGTCTTTGGGAAGACGGCGGATCGGTTCATTTCTGCAAGTTCAGAACGATTCGATCAGATTCACAATTTACATTCATGTTTCACAATTTGATTATGTTAGATTCTGTATATTTTAGGATAATGTAAATGCTTTTCCTAATGTGTCTTAGTGAAGAAAGGAAAAGACAGATATTTATTGCACTAAGCATCTTTAAGGTAAATGCATTAAATCAGTGTTCACACAGGCTACTTGGAATATAACAGAGTGCAATGTGCCAAAAATACATTAAATAATAATATAATGTACAAATTATTTATTATTAAATATTAATAAAAATATGTATTTTGTTTTATTTCGATTTAATTTATTTCCATGCGTTTTCGTGGTCTGGAAATAACCATTTTAAAATTCCCTATGATTTCCAGGTTTTTCTTGATTATGTCAGTAAAATAAGTTAATGCAAATATTGCAATATTATCTGATGAATTCACGTGTTTCAGTAAGTGACCACACAGTGAACTGGCAGCTTTATTGAGAAAACGAGTGAATCGTTACATCCCTAATTATTGGGTTAATTTTAGGTACATTTTTCAGATTAATTTTTAGGTATGTTTTACCTAAAAGTTAAATTTTTGTAAGTTAATAGAATTATGATGTTGAATGAATGAATGAATAAAGATTTGTCACTTTTTCTTTGTTTTGTTTTGTTTTTGTTTTGTCACTTCCCAAAAAGTAAGGTATTATTATTATTTTTTTGAATTACTTATTTAATTAAAAACATAATGATTAATTTATTACTATAATAAATTAACGCATTAATGTTAATATAATTATAATTAAAAATACACTAAATTCATGTTAATTAAATGTTGATTTAAAAAAATGAATGGTTCTTTTTCACTTCCAAGTGAAAAAATATTTTAATATTTTAGTGTCCAGTTAGGTTTACTAAATTTTCTACCGTATAAAGGTTTTCACTTTTTTATTTTTTTTTATTTTAGGTTAATAAAATCCTGTTGATTTAAATTAAAATTTCTGTTGATTTGATTAAAAAATATATATATGCACACATTTGTAGACAGTTAATCTGATGTATGATCAGAAATTTCAGAGCTTCATTATCAAATGCAGATTTTTCATTGTGTGATGAAGTTGTCCGTCTCACACACACACACACATCTTCATCACATTGTCCGTCTCACACACACACATTTCTTACCGGCTCAGAAACTCGGGGTGCGTTCGCTGCGTGACCTCTGACCCCCGCTGTCTCTCCGGAGGCGGCCAGAGAAGGGAAGGCTTGTCTGGGATTATTTTGCCAGGTGTCTCCTCCGCTTCTGGGAATGTTGTTTTTTCCCCGGCCTGAGTAAACCGATCCATTGTTTTGCGGCGGCACGGTGTGGATGTCCCGTCCCTTCAGAAGAGATAGAGTTCATATATCTTAACCAGAACTTTCCATCACCTTCGGTCACGCTACATAGCCGCGCACAATACCGCGATCTCATTACCGCGCTCTTCCGTAACACAGGCGCTGTTGTGGGTGAGGTTCAGCGAGGGGTCGCCAGATTGAGATCTCTTTCTCTTTGATTAGGGTTTCCCAAAGCAGGTGCACCTGCGCCGCAGACGGGCCCCTCGATCGGACGGGTCAGCAGCAAGGGCCCGGATCGGCCCGCGCCTCAGGTTCACCCCAACGACCAGGACGATTCGCTGGTGCAGAGAGCCGAACACATCCCGGCAGGAACACGCACACCCATGTGCGGCCACTGCAACATGGTCATCAGGTCAGGCATCTGCATCACCACACATTACATGTGCCATTTAACCCACATTCACCCACATTCGCTAAGATTCAACAGTTCTTAAATGTGACCCTGGACCACAAAACCAGTCATACACTCTTAAAAATAAAGGTGCTTCACGATGCCATAGAAGAACCTTTTTGTCTAAATGGTTCCATAAAGAACCTTTAACATCTGAAGAACCTTTCCGTCTCACAAAAGCTTCTTTGTGGCGAAAGAAGGGTCTTCAGATTATAAAAAGGTAAGAAAGAGATGCTTCTATAAAGAACCTTTGACTGAATGCTTCTTTGTGGAACCAAAAATGGTTCTTCTATGGCATCGCTTGAAGAACCTTTTGAAGCACCTTTATTTTTAAGAGTGTAAGGGTCCATTTTTCAAAATTGAGATGTATGCATCATCTGAAAGCTGAATAAATAAGCTTTCCATTGATGTGTGGTTTGTTAGGATCGGACAATATTTGGCTGAGATGCAACTATTTGAAAATCTGGAATCTGAGGGAGCAAAAAAATCTAAATATTGAGAAAATCATCTTTAAAGTTGTTCAAATGAAGTTCTTAGCAATGCATATTACTAATCAAACATTAAGTTTTGATATATTTATGGTAGGAAATGTACAAAATATCTTCATGGAACATGATCTTTACTTAATATCCTAATGATTTTTGGCATAAAAGAGAAATGTATAATTGTGACCCATACAGTGTATTGTTGGCTATTGCTACAAATATCCCCCAGCGACTTAACACTGCTTTTGTGCTCCAGGCTCACAAATGACTAGATGTGTTTTATTTTTTAATACTAGATAAAAAAGTTTGTAGACAAACTTTAAGTTCACTCTTAAAAATAAGTGCTTCACGATGCCATAGAAGAACCTTCACTAAGCTTCTTTGTGGCGAAAGAAGGTTCTTCAGATTATAAAAAGGTAAGAAAGATGGTTATTTAAGAATCTTTGACTGAATGCTTCTTTGTGGAACCAAAAAGGGTTATTTTATGGCATCTCTGTGAAGAAGCTTTTAAGCACCTTTATTTTTAAGAGTGTAGGCTTGGAAAAGCCTAGCCAGAAAGTTTGAAGTAGTTTTGGAAGTTTGAAGGTTCTCCGTTTGAAATAGTTCAGTTTTAATTTAGTAGTTTTAAAAGTCAGATAGATAAACTGCTAAAAACCAGCTAAAACCAGTTGATTTAACAAAAAACTAAAAAAAGTTAATGTAGCTAAAAACCAGGTAAAACCACCTAAAGCCAACTAAAACCAACTGTTTTAGCAAAAAACTTAAAAACCAGCTTAAACCAGCTGATTTAGCCAAAAAAGCTAAAACCAGCTGATTTAGCAAAAAACTTAAAAACCAGCTTAAACCAGCTGATTTAGCCAAAAAAGCTGAAACCAGATAAAACCAGCTGATTCATTAAAAGCGTGCTGATTTAGCAAAAAATATGCTAAAAAAAAAAAACTGCTGAAATTAATTAAATTAAAAACCAGTCAATTTAACAACAAATAAACTGCTGATTTAGCAAAAACAGAAACCAGCTAAAACCAGCTGATTTATAAAAAAAACAACATCAAATAACCAGCTGATTTAGCTAAATAAAAAGCTTAAAACCAACTGATTTATTAAAAACACAGCTAAAACCAGTGATTTAGGATGTTGCTAGCATGAATTAGCATATTGCTAGCATGAGATTATTATGAAAACTGTAAGTCAGATCAGTTAGAACAGATATAGCATACCGAGTCAGAACAGTCTGAAGATCTGGGCCGAGTTTAGTGGTTCTAGCTTGAATACTCTAGGACGAGTTTCAATTGCAAATTTAGTCTCGAATAAGAATAAGAAGCAGCAGCTTAAATAACTTAACTTAATTAGGGCTGTCGATTTAACATGTTACTTTGGCACAATTCATTTTGGAAAAATAACGTGTTAATTATATTATTATAAATTATTATAAGAGCCTAAAATTCAAGATACGAGGGTTAAAAATGTTCCAATCTCACACAAGCAAGAGTGCTGCTTTACCCAAAATCTTCACCATTGCAAATGTGATCTTTAATACAACAGTTCAGTAAACAAGAAGTTAATAATAGTGTAATAGTTTTATTCAAAGCGACAGCAGAATTGTTGTGTGTCTCCGAACAACACACATCAGTGATTTGTTACTGAATGAATCAAGTGAGTCAGTGATTCAGTGACTCATTTATAAAGACAGTCACTTGCTTCACTTCTGAATGAATCAGCCATTTGAACAAATCAGTTGAATGAATGATTCAATGACTCGCTCATTATGACAGTGACTTGGTGCCACCTACTGGCTCTTTTAGTTTCATATTTAAAGTATTTTTTTTCCCCCCCAAATTATTTCATATTCCACATTAATTTATTTTAAAATCTATTAATGCCCATTTGTTATGATTATTTATGCAATTTTAAATCAAAATATTTCTTGCTGAAGCTACTTTTTGTAATGTCTGTTCAATGCATTTCCCACGTAACACAATAATGACTTTAAATCATTTTTGGGGGGACATTTCTCAGCCAAATTTGATGTGCGATTAATTTGCAATTAGATTAATTAATCGGCACATCATGTCATTAATTAGAATAACATTTTAGTCATTTGACAGCCAGGTTCTTTTTCACTTCCAAAAACTGTACATTCAACAGTATGTTGAAATGTCCTGTTAGATTTATTTAGTTTTTGAACATATAGAGTAATATAATTTACCATTAAATGTATTGCCATAAATACAAATATATATAATATATATATATACGTAATTGGTTACGTTGCAATGTTTTAAACCATGAAGGCGAGCCAATGGATATCACACACAAGCAACGTGCAAACTTTGCGCAAGAGTTACACCGGTGAACGTCTTAATCTCAATTCAATTCACTGCAGAAAGTGAAAGTAAAAACAAAGTGACAGAGTAATGACGGAGCCCCGTTCTCTCTCAGAGACGACGAGACGAATCTACTTCAACATATGCTGATAACGTTATATAGCTAACTGTTTCTAATGCTACATAGTGATAAAAATGAGAAGAAACATATTTCGTGTTAAACAGGTTGTTTTTGAAAGTCGGTGCTTGAAATAAAAGCTTTTTATTTCATTGATTTTTATTGATGACGGAAGTCTTAATATGTTAATCATATGCCTATAATTCATTGTATAATATACCTGTTTTTTTTTACATTTTAATTGAGGAGTGCTAAATATATAGCCTAACCTTTTGTTATCTTCGCAGCACATCAGTTATTTGGTCATTATTGCAGGGCAAATTAATTTTAATTTACATTTAATAATAAAAGTAACTTCATAATAATAATAATAATAGGCCTAATAAAAATAAGAATGTAACAGGCCTACATTAATTGGAAATGCCAAATCCTCTTAATATTGTCAATACTTTTTTATCGTCAAAAACAAAAAGATTTGACGATATCTCTGGCTGTGGTCGAGACAAGATCATCATCTTTCGACGCACCGCAGCAAGAGGAGGTTATCACGGGGCAGACGGTGCGTTGTCTGTTACGTAGTTTGGTCTGCTTTGTTGAGCGCAGTGGCACTGAGAACATTATATTTCACACACTTTAAGCTCTTTTATTTTCCAAATGTAATAGGATTAGTGCAACAAATCGATTCGTTTGGTTTGTAATGCGTACCGAATCGATAGCCTCAATATATATATATATATTAGGGGTGCTCCGATTGATCGGCTACCGATCATTATCGGCCGATAATCACGTTAAGATGTTTGATCGGCGGTCTCTAAAAACACCGATCTCAAAAAAACGATCTCAAGCTGATGCCGTGAGAGGTTTGGCACAACATGCAGTGTCACCGTCTCAGTCTCTGTCCGGCGCGGGTGAAATAATTATAACGCTGAAGGTGAGGTACTCACCTTCATATTTATTCATTAAATAACTTATAAAGTAATTTGAAAACCTTGTGTGAGACGTAATTTCACAAACCACGCGAGTGAATCACCGTGCGCACTCTCTCTCTTTCTCTCTCAAAATACGCAAATGGCTTCAAATCAACATCGCAAGCTGCACAGTTGACACAGGAATCGTCACTTGAACAATCGAGGCAGTGTCACATCGTCACTAAAGTTTATAAATTGCATTACTTTTAAATTCTTGCCGGTGTTTAACTCGCAGCATGCACTCATGCACACTCGCAGCGCACACACATAATGCCAAGTTCACATTACTCCATTTGCAGTGCATACGTGGTGCGTATTTTTTTTCCGCACTCATGTTAACGGATCAAAGCGTTCCCCCTGCACACGGTTGCGGTCCGGCAGTGTGCTCCAGTGGCGGTGCGTCTGCAGCAGTGCAGAGATCGTTTCTGCACCGAGTCTATTTTTGCTGCGCTGCAAGCTTGAATTAAAGTAACAGTGCATTCAGTGTTGCCAACTAAGCTTCAGAGAAAGTTGCTAAAGTCTATTTGTTGCTAAAAGTTGCTAAATTACATTATGATGTCATTGCGCGATGATGTCATTGCATAATAAAGATGCAAAATTGTCTCGCAACATCAAATCTCAGCAAAAATATTTTATATATTTTCATTTAGATTTGTTTGTAAAATAATATGCATAATATATTAAAATATAAATAACTGTATTTTTAAATGCATTGAATTATTGAACATACACATTTTTGAATGATTACAATTTAAAAAAAATTTAATAGCTAGTATAATAATATTATATATAGATGAATTATTCAAAAATTAAGTAAAGAAATAAATAAATTTAAATTAAGTAAGAAATTAAGTAAATAAAAATATATTTAAAAATAAACATGCTATTTTTGCTTCAAGTAAATATTTCCTATATATATATATATTAGGGGTGCTCTGATCAGGATTTTTGAGGCTGATCACCGATCGCCGATCACAGAAATGATCAAAAGAAGGCTTTAAAAAGATCGGTATCGGTGATCGTTATCGGCCGATAACGATCACCGATACCGATCTTTTTAAAGCCTTCTTTTTATCATTTCTGTGATCGGCAATCGGTGATCAGCCTCAAAAATCCTGATCAGAGCACCCCTAATATATATATATATACAGTAAATTATTCCTAAGTATGTGACCTGTAACATCTCAAATAAATAAATAAACTATATAATTAATAATAATTAAAAGAGTGTCTTTGTTGTTGTACATGAACAACAGTTCATGTTTCACAATTTTAAAAGTGGCTTCAAATAAAGGACAAACTTCATTCCGTGTGAAATCTGAATGTGGAGGATCTTTCTGATATTATTCACACAATAGATCATTCATTCAGTCCCAGATAAACTCATCTAAATGTGTTCATGTTAGCAGCTCAAAACACGCTGAAGCATCAGGCTGATACTTTATAACTGAACTGAGCTGATTCTAAACTACATTTGATAAGTCCTTTATGAAAATTGTTACATTACTTTTATTTGGCATGTCTGGGAACTTGAGGGCTTAAAATGAGAGAGAATACATTTAAATGTTGTTTTGTGTTTTTGAGTATTAATATTCTATTATTTATTTTTCTGTTTAGGTAATTATATTGTATATATATATATATATATATATATACTGTATATATATATTCTTTTTTTAATTAATTAATTAATTTATTTTCTTATGCATTAAATATACACTTCGATTCAAAATGTTTTTTTATGTCTTTGAAAGAAGTCTCTTCTGCTCACCAAGGCTGCATTTATTTGATCAAAAATACAGTAGAAAAAAGGAAAATATTATTCTAATGTAAAAAAGCAGTTTTCTATGTGAATATATGTTCAACTGTAATTTATTCCTGTGATGTGCAGCTGTATTTTCAGCATCATTACTCCAGTCTTCAGTGTCACATGATCTTCAGAAATCAGTATAATATGCTGCTTTGCTGCTCAAGAAACATTTCTGATTATTAATGTTGAAAACAGCTCTTTTTGAGGAAACGGTGATACTTTTATTCATAGATGAATCGAAAGTTCAAAAGAACAGCATTTATTAGAAATAGAAATCTTCTGTACATTATAAATGTCTTTACTGTCACTTTTGATCAATTTAATGCATCCTTGCTCAATAAGAGTGTTCATTTATTTCAAAAAATAAAAAATAAAAAATTTTTCTGACCTCAAACTTTTGAACGTTAGTGTTACATTTGTTACAGATTTTGTAACGTTGTACACCTACACAAGACCTTCACGTTAAAACAACAGAGAGTCAAAGGTTACGTTAGTGTGGCGCTCACATGCGGCTGTGTGAAGTTTAGTTTGTAGGTAAACGAGCGTCTGATGGATTTGGGCCGTGAGCGAGGAGTAGTTTCAGGAGCTCAGACTCCTTCAGCTCGTCTCCAGAGAGCAGGATCCGTTACTCCACAGACTGCCAGACTCCGGGCCGAAGCAGCCGTGACATCCAAGCTTAAATCTCTGCTTTCTGCATCTGATATCGCCAGTGTCTGTTGTCTTCCCTTCCAGCTAATCATCCGATTTGTCAGCCCATCCTCACGTTACCTCAACAGATTCCTCCACATCAGATCCCATCAAAACGGCTGTTTTCACAGTGTCAGGACAGACCAGAGCTCTGATAGCACACCAGTCACATTCAACTTAGGGCTTTGCATTCTGTGTGCTTTATGAGGAAAAACATTTTATGGTGGTAACAGTTATTTTAGTGTAATTGAGTTTTTATTAGTATTTTACATATTATATTGTATTTTCCGTTCAGGGTTTTATAGTTCACAATCAGTAAAACAGAAATAAAAAATAAAAGCATTAAAATGACATTTATTTTATTTTTTTTGTTACTTGAAATAATAAATAAAATATAAAATACTAGTTGTCAAGGCAACATTTCTAATTTTCAGTTCATTTAATTTCTCAGTTGATTTAAAGTAAAGAAATAATAAAAACTATAAACTACTAAAAAGGACAAAAACACACCACAAAGTTACGAAAACTAACAAAACATTTAAATTAAAACATAAAAATAAGAAATGATTCAAAATATTAATAAAACTTTAATAGCATCTGAATGATACTAAAAACATTTTAATTTTTAAAGTTTTAGCAATTTTGTTGTGTTTGTCATTTTAGTAGCTTTTGTTTTTTGTTAAATATAGTTTTTATTAATTTATTTACATTTTAGTTATTTAAAATTATGTTAGTTTTTAATTAAATTTAATGTTAAAATATGAATACATATTAGTTAATAGCTTCCTGATTTTTGGCATAAAAGAGAAATGTATAATTCTGACCCATACAATGTATTGTTGGCTATTGCTAAAAATATCCCCCAGCGACTTAACACTGCTTTTGTGCTGCAGGGACACATATATCACTGTCAAAATTTAAAAAATAAGTACTTGTACAAATGAAACTACTTTTATGTATCTTATGTGTACTAAGCTACTGAGCTATGCTTTGATGCAACCTCCCAACTTTACTCTTTTTTTTTATCAAAATGTGCTTTTTAACCTTGGGCTGTGTAATATAATTTCAACTTTATCTTTAACAGCTTTAACAGCATCAGGATGTTTTTAACATTTCAAAACACATTCTCATGTTAGCAGACAGATTACACTTTCACATGTGACCAACAATTCCTCAACAAATATAAAATATCATAATGAAGTCTTATCAAAATATCCATCTGACATAGTTGACGAAAACCTGAATTTGTACTGAATCTAATACATTAAATCAATCAGTTACTGTATTAAAACAAACACAACAAACAGTATGTTATTGTTTATAAAAGATTCACATCATTAAAAAAACATTTGTATCCATTTTATAGCATATGAACGATTGAACCCCTCTCTGTGGACTCACAGTTTTAGATGTAGTGAGAAGACAATAAGTGTCATGGATTTGATATAATAATGATACAATTAAATTGAAGAGGATAATTGTGTAAAATTCATTTTATTATTAATCCCCCATAACATTTACAATTGAAAATCTTTACATTTTTAAACCTATTAGCAGTTGCAATTGGACATGTTTTGTCCCGTGTGTGTGTGTGTGTGTGTGTGCGTGCGCGTGCATGTGAGAGCGTGCGTGAGAGTGTGTGTGAGTGAGAGTGAGAGTGTGTGCGTGTGCGTGTGTCTGTGTGTGTGTCTGTGTGTGTCTATGTGTGTGCGTGTGTGCCTGTGTGAGTGAGAGTGTGTGTGTGTGTGTGTGCGTGCATGAGAGTGTGCGTGTGTCTGTGTGTGTGTCTGTGTGTGTGTGTGTGTGCGTGTGTGAGTGAGAGTGTGCGTGTGTGCGTGTGCGTGCATGAGAGTGTGTGTGAATGCGTGAGAGTGAGAGTGAGAGTGTGTGTGTGTGTGCGAGTGAGAGTGTGTGTGCGTGCGTGAGTGAGAGTGTGCGTGTGTGAGTGAGAGTGAGAGTGTGTGTGTGCGAGTGAGAGTGAGAGTGTGCGTGTGTGAGTGAGAGTGTGTGTGTGAGTGTGTGCGTGTGCATGTGTGTGTGTCTGTGTGTGTCTGTGTGTGAGAGTGTGTGTGTGAGTGAGAGTGAGAGTGTGTGTGTGTGAGTGAGAGTGAGAGTGAGTGTGCGTGTGTGAGTGAGTGTGTGTGTGTGTGTGTGTGAGTGTGTGTGTGTGTGTGAGTGTGTGTGTGTGTGTGAGTGTGTGTGTGTGTGTGAGTGTGTGTGTGTGTGTGCGTGAGAGAGTGTGTGTGCGTGCGTGAGTGAGAGTGCGTGTGTGAGTGAGAGTGAGAGTGAGAGTGTGTGTGTGTGTGCGTGAGTGAGAGTGAGAGTGAGAGTGAGAGTGTGTGTGTGCGTGCGTGAGAGAGTGAGAGTGAGAGTGTGTGTGCGTGCATGAGTGAGAGTGTGAGTGTGTGTGTGTGTGTGTGTGCGTGTGTGAGTGAGAGTGAGAGTGAGAGTGAGAGTGAGAGTGCGTGTGTGTGTGTGCGTGCGTGAGAGAGTGTGTGTGTGTGAGTGAGTTCAAAATCTCTGGATGAAGCAAGTCTTAATTTTTTCTTTTTTTTTTAAATGATGTTTTAGCTACGTAATGAATTCATTTAAATTTAATAAATATTTTGAAATAGACTCATTTATAACATTAAAACATTTTGTCAGAAAGTCAAATTACATATTTTCTTTGGTTGTCTAAAGTTTTGTTTTCGGAGAAGCATAAAAATACATAGGCTAACATATCTGACATCTAACTAATACCATAAGTACTGTTTATAGCCTATTATGTTACATGTTACTATATGTTTATGAACTATGTATGTATTATGTAGTTCTGCAACCAACCAAACAACCCCCTGTTGTTAATAATAGATAATAATGTAGATAATCTGGAATCTGAGGGTGCAGAAAAATCTAAATATTGAGAAAATCACCTGTGCGTGAGTGAGAGTGAGAGTGAGAGTGTGTGTGTGTGTGCGTGAGTGAGAGTGAGAGTGAGAGTGAGAGTGTGTGTGTGCGTGCGTGAGAGAGTGAGAGTGAGAGTGTGTGTGCGTGCATGAGTGAGAGTGTGAGTGTGTGTGTGTGTGTGTGTGCGTGTGTGAGTGAGAGTGAGAGTGAGAGTGAGAGTGAGAGTGCGTATGTGTGTGTGCGTGCGTGAGAGAGTGTGTGTGTGTGAGTGAGTGTGTGTTTGTGTCTGTGTGTGTGTATATATATATATATATATATATATATATTTACTGTATATAATTTATACAATATTTAATTATTTATTAAATATATGAAAATACACATTAAATATACAGGAATACTTATATTTAAAACATTGATTTTTATTTTATTTTTATATGTTTATATCCACTGACATTAAAGAGTCAACTATTAAAAAAATTATAAAAAACAAACTAAAAATATATTTATATATTAAATATAAATATTACATACATTTCAAACATTTATTCTATTAATTAGACGTGTGTAAGAGCCACTTTTTGAGTAACATGCTCAAATTAATTTATAAAATGGAGGTTAATGAAATATTTATTGAATATATGATATTTGAAATATTGTATAAAAATATATATATTATATAAATATTTAAATGTGTGAGCATGTCCCCTTAAATGGTTATAATTGAAATAAATATAATTGTTGTATAAATGCAATTGTATTTTGTTCATCATGAATGATGCTCTTAACTATTGACCTCCATGATTGTTCCCTGTAAAGCTTTATTCCCTTTATTCCCTTCTCTCTGAGAGCGTTGGAGTGTGGGAACGAGCTTTAATCGATTTATAGATCTGGGCTGCGTTTCCCAAAAACATTGTAAGCCTAAGTTGATCATAGGGCCATTGGTTTCAATCAACGATGTACTTAAGCTTACGATTAGTGGTCGACCGATATTGTTTTTTTGACTGCCGATAAGTCCGACTCTCTAACTCTCTGACTTCCCCACGGAAGTCTCATTTGACTGTGAAAATCTCAGCGGTTATGTGAAATATTGGGTGTCTGACTGGTTGGGCTGGAGCAGAAGTGTCTGCTGCTGATGTGACAGTGCTGTGATAAAGCTTCAGCAGGAAGAGTTCAAGGCTGCGTTCTAATCTGCGCTTCTCGTCTGCTAACAGGAAGTCATCAACGCTCTGAAGCAAACCTGGCATGTGTACTGCTTCCTGTGCACCGCCTGCCAGCAGCCCATCCGCAACAACACCTTCCACCTGGAGGACGGACAGCCGTACTGCGAGACCGGTGAGAGACCAAACCCACGGCCTGTCAATAGAAAGAGAAAAAAAAAATATATATATATATATATCATATGCTCTTGCTTCACAACTTCTTGTTCAAGCTCTTGTTCTGTCCAGGCTGGACTATTGCAATGCTCTCCAGCCAGTTCTATCAAACCTTTACAATTAATCCAGAACACGGCTGCAAGATTAATCTTTAATGAGCCAAAAACAATACACGTCACACCTCTGTTTATCAATATGCACTGGCTACCAGTAGCTGCTCGCATAACATTCAAGGCATTAATGTTTGCCTACAAAACCAGCACTGGCTCTGCACCCCTTTACCTAAATTCATTACTTCAGACTTATGTGCCTCTAGAAGCTTGCGTTCTGCAAGTGAGCGGCGCTTTATTGTTCATCTCAAAGAGGCACAAAATCACTTTCACAGACTTTTACATTAAATGTTCCCTCCCGGTGGAATAACCTGCCCAACTCAATCCCAGCAGCTGAGACCTTACCCATCTTCAAGAAACACTAAAAACACATCTCTTCCATCTTTATTTGACCCTCTAACTCTTAACACTCTATTCTAATTCTATTCTTTAAAAAAAAACTTGACCCTTTTAGACTTGCACTCTGTTCGTTTACTAACTGCTTGTTTTCTTTAAAATTAAAATTAAAACTAACACTAGCTCCTCTATTCTTTTTCTATTCTATCGGCTTTCTTTTTATTTATTATATAATAATAATAATAAACCCTTGCTACAGTATATGTACTGCATTAGGCTAATTGAGACTTACACACACACATATATATATATATATATATATATTAGGGGTGTAACGGTTCACAAAATTCACGGTTTGGTTCGGTTGTATATTCCTCAAATCAATGCATGTATGTATGTATGTTATGTATAAAATGTGATTATTTTTACATACATTTTAATAATAATAATATTATGAAAATATGTTATTATATTAATGTAGAGCACCAAACACCAATGACTTGTACATACACTATATGGACAAAAGTATTGGGACACCCCCTTCTTTAGAACAGAAAAGGCACTTCCAAAACTCTGGCAACAAAGATGGAAACATAATAATTCATGTTTTTAAATTTGTATTTCCGTCTCTGTGGCAACAGTTTTGTAAGTGTCTAAAATGACTGAATTCATATGTACAAGACAAGTCACTGGTGTTTGCTGATGAGTTTTTGGCTCTGCATTTGTGACACCAGAGGTTTCTGCCTGGTTTCAAACCTGTTTGTATGTATATTCTATTTATATATTCTAATTTTTATTTATAAAGCGGAGAGTTCCGGAGCTTGATTCTGATTGGCTGAGCCGCGTTCGAAGCTGTTGTAAATGACGCTACAAAGTAACACACACCTTTGTTTACTTCTGTGTGTTGCTCGGCAAACACTTTGTAGCAACCACAACTGTTTCTGAGGAGCTACATTGTTTGGTGGAAGAATACTGTGTTTATTAATATCTTTACACTTTATTTGCTCCGTTTTATTTTGTGAAACCTTACTACGTATATGGAATAACCGTTTTATAAAAGCAGTAACCCCCGTGAAGCCGTGGTTTACAGTAAATTTATAACAGCTAAGGGGGTTTAGGCACTCCGCTTCACGTCTAACAACGCCCCTTAGCTGTTAAATTCACTGTAATCCACGGCTTCTTGGGGCTTCTTGCTTTAATATTATGGCATTAATGTTATTTAATTAATAAAGATATTTTTATTTTGAGAAACTTACTTTTACTTCACTACATTCCAAAGCATAATATCACACTTTTTCCTCCTCTACATTTCATAAAAACACGTCCTATCCCGTTCTGTCAAACTGAAGAAGCCTCTGTGTGAATCGAGATGTGAGCGTGAAGTCTGATTCGTGAGCGAGCGGAACGGATTCACTGAACGCTGTGATTGATTTGTTTAGATTACTACACCCTGTTCGGCACCAGCTGTCACGGATGCGACTTCCCCATCGAAGCGGGCGATAAGTTCCTGGAGGTGCTGGGGTTCACCTGGCACGACACCTGCTTCGTCTGTACGGTACGAGAACGGTGCAGTGCATCAGAGCCATGAGACGCTTGCTCCTGTTACACAGTGAATAAAGGATGAATGATGCATTTATATAGCGATTTATTGTGTATTGCTGTACACACAAAGCGCTTTACAATCATATGGGGGGGGGTATTTATTGATTGATTGATTGAGTGAATGACTTTGACTTTTTTTTTTTTACTTTACTAACTTTATTTAATTATTGTATTTATTTACTTATTCCATTTATTCACTTGTTATATATTTACTTGTTTTTATTTACTCGTTTGTTCATTTACTTATTTATTTGTTTGTTTATTTTCTTTACTTATTTCATTCTACTTATTTATTTACTAACTTTATATATTTATTTTGTTAATTTTCTTTTACGTTATTTACCTTTTTATTATTTACTTATTTACTTTATATTTATTTATGTAGTTATTTATTCACTTATTTATTTATTTGATTATTTAATTCATATGCATTATTTGTTTATTTACTTATTTACTTGATTTGCTCATTTATATTATTTACTTATTTACTTTATTTTCATTTATTTATTGACTTTTCTTTTTTTACTCACAAATAGCAATTTCTACTCAAAATATTTTACGTCTTGAGATAACTAGAAAAAAAATCAAATTAATTATAGAAATTCCCATAACTTTAAAGGTCTAGAACTCAGAAATATATCCAGGGTTTCCCTGGTTCTTAAATAAAACTGACATTTGTTACGGGAATGAATCAAAATGAGAAATATGGTTTTATTTGATTGTTTGAAGGGTTAATATGTGGTTTTGGTGATGTTCTGGTGTCTCTCTCTGGTCCTGTAGGTGTGCAGCACGAGTCTGGAGGGTCAGACCTTCTTCTCCAAGAAAGACAAGCCCTTGTGCAAGAAGCACGCTCACACCGTCCAGTTCTGATCTCACCGTGAAACAAACGCCTTGCTGGTCATATTTGACTTTTGTGAGATTTATTTTAGTGCATGAATGTTTATGAGAAGAGAATCAGAAACTGCTTCCCTGAATAAGACTCTGTTTCATGTTCTGGGTGTGTTTGTCTGTTTTTGAGCGAGTATATCATGCGATGCAGTGTTTTATTGAGATCTTTACCATGATTGAAAATTATCTTTACATGCAAAAGATATTTCATTTGTTATTTGTAGCATTACAGAAGATCATATTCTATTTTCCACATGTATTTAAAGAGCCATGACTCTGTGCTAATATATTTTTCACACTCATGAGATCAGTGTGAGTGCTGCAGTACATCCAGCTCTCTTTATGCAGGTATATTTTATATTTATTGAGGCGCGACAGAAGATTTCGAGGGCTTTGCGTGTATTTTACTTTCAGTGCGGTGATGTTTTATGAGTTATTTCTGTGCTCTTTTATCTGTGTCAGGTTTGTGGGATGTCTGATTGATTCTGTGCCTTTATTTGTATTAATATACAAAAATGTTTCATATTTAGGCCTAAAGTAATTCAGACTGTTTTCTAATCATTAGCACTCATTTTGAAGCTAATAAGGGTCGGTGGTTCATGTGCATCTTTATTCTCTTTGTTTTAGTTGCCTGTAATTCACTTCTTTATTCTGAGATGGGATGAAAAATAAAACATACATTAATCATAGTGTGATTAAAATTATTTTTTATGCAACACTGATCACAACATCCATTGTTATCATTAACTAAACTAAAACCATAAAAAAATTATTGCTTGAATAGATAGATAGATAGGTGTGTGTGTGTGTGTGTGTGTGTGTGCGCGTGTGCGCATATGCAAAGATGACAAAAGACAAATGAGATATGCAAATTTATCAAACAAAAATGTCCATTTTAGCTAGTCATTTTTGTTTAGATTAAGTAGAAGTACAAAATAACAAACTAAAAATTAATAAAAACTTTAAGTAAAAGAAATTATAAAAATGAGAACAGAATGGCTAAAACTTTAACTAAAATTAAAACAAAATATATAGAAAAATATTCTATATTATTTCACATTTTCATATATTCCACAAGAGAATAACTCTAAAATTAGAATATACCAAAAAATTCTATTTTTTGTTTACTTCAAGCTTAAGTACTAAAATAACTCAAACTAAATACACAAACTAAAAATGAATCAAATCTATATTTACATATAAAAATGGCAACTGAAATTCAAATTAAAACAGAAAATATATAGAAAAACATTTGAAATGTAATATATAAAATCAAAGATTGAAATTTAAAATCAGAATAGAACAGAAAAAATATTTAAAATTTAATTTAAAATGTTAACAAAACTATAATTAATTCTTCATACAACATGGATCACATCTATTGAGAACAAGGTATTGTTATCTAAAACAAAAGCCATAAATTAAAATTAAAGTGTGTATATATATATTTTTTTCTTCGTTTTTATGGCTTTAGTTTTAGATAACTATAGCCTACATATAAATAGTATTTCAATGATACTAAAATATCACTGCATCATCAGAAACACGTTTGCATCACTACTGTAAATGCTTTAATAATGAGTGTCATTGTGTATTTTCCGGGTCACCTGAGAGCGATCCTTCGGTCTCTAGATCCCAAACCATCACTCCACCACAAACACACAGCCTGCGCTCGCCTTTCATACGATGCCGGATCATTTTCAGTCCCTGCGAAATAGATATTAGCAAACACTCACCGTCTTCCGGTAATGACTGAGTTTGCCAGTAGGTTGCAATGCATGTTTATGATGATCAGATTATAAAAAAGGTTAAGTCCTCCTAACTAAAAAACTGTTAGACATTCTGCACCTGCTCCGTGAGTATGTGTGTGTGATCATGTATTTCCAATATCATTACAGTTTTTAAGCACTACATGAGTTTCATGCACAGAAATTAAACAATGCACAAAGAAAAGCAGACTTTAAAGATGACTTTAATGCTGTAAACAGTATTGTTTTAGTGGTTTGGATGTTTTGGATGTTTTGGATCTCAATCAGCATCAGATGAAGTTTAAATTCACGTGTGAGATCTGAAAGAATCTGAAAGAAAGAGTGAAAATAAAGCGATGTGGATTATTTCTGTGAAAGTTCTTTTCATTCCTGCACTGAAGCAGAAGCTCAAAACGACTAACTAGTTTAATGCCCTGAATTTATTTTGTAAATGAATCCTGAATCTGAATGGTCAGATATGTAGAGAAGCTCAAAAACCAAAGGCTTCATCTATAAAGTTCATATAGGCCTCCGCTCACTCTAGCCCCCGGCCTCCGTTCACTCTAGCCGCCGGCCATTTTATCGAGGACTGTTTCCTGATCCTGTGAGAGTAGACTACAATGCCGGCTGTTCTGACTCACAGACTGTACGTAAGGGGCATAACATTTCCGTCACACGCTTGAGGTATTCGGCTAATCACAATGCACTGGATAGCTGGCCAATCACAGCACACCTTGCTTTTCAGACCGATGAGCTTTGTAAAAATCGAGGCGTTTCAGAAAGGCGGGGCATAGAGGAGAAACAATAATGTACAGTATGTTGAAAATAATGCGTTTTTGAACCTTAAACCGCATAAACACATTTCATTACACCAAATACACAAAATAATGTTATTTTTAGCAACATCATATGACCCCTTTAAGATCATTACCAGTGATGTCGAAATTCGAAAATGAATGGCTCTTTTGATCAGTTTTTTTTTTGCTAGTGAATCGCTTGAAATGACTGATCGAAGTCACGAGTTTGAATCAATCGGAGTGGTTCCAGTGTAAATGGCTCACTGAGTTGAATCGGTTTGTCTGTTCCTCCGCTGGCACTGGTCACTCACTCCTTCAGCCATGTTTACACGACACTCTCAGTATTACTACTGGCTTAACTCGCTAGTTTTATGAGATTAACTGAAATGAGCAAAAAAGTATGATGTTTACAAATAAAATCCACATTTATATGTCTAAAGAACTGCTTTCCACATCGAAGAATCCAACAGAAATGTAAGAGCATATTCAGGTGAGGTAATGGTTTACTGCTAACTAGTGAAACACTCCATTAATAAAATACATGTTAGATGGAAACATTGTGCATTGATCCAACTACCTGAACATTTTCACATTTATGACTAAAGTTTTTTGCCATGGCCAACAGAAGTTACTCATAATTCATAAAGAGAGCTTTTTTATGTTAGCATATTCATTAAACAATAATTAGACAATTTTGATTATGTAAAACCAACAACATTACAGCAGCATCAGAGCGCTGGGTCTCATCATTTTATTTTTAAGATCAAAAATGAATTGGACCAATGATAAACCGCACTCTTATTTCAGTGTGTTATATATATATATATTTCTGTGTGTGTGTGTGTGTGTGTGCGTGTGTGTATTTATGTATATATACAGTATATATATATATATATATATATATATATATATAGACTGTATATATTAGTGCTGTCAAACGATTAATCGCGACTAATAGCATCCAAAACAAAAGTTTTTGCTTTCATAAAATGTGTGTATACTGTGTATATTTATTATGTATATATAAATACACACACGAACAGTATATTTAGAAAATATTTCCATGTGTTTCCATACATATATTTATATTAATATAATTGATATTGCATATAAATATTTTAAATGTATAAACATATTTTTCTTAAATATATACATGTATGGGTGTGTATTTATATATACATAATAAATATACACAGTACACACACATATATTATGTAAACAAAAACGTTTATTTTGGATGCGATTAATCACGGTTAATCGTTTGACAGCACTAATATATATATATATATATATATATCGATTCGCTCATATGAAACGATTCATTCAGGAATTATATTTAGTACATTGATAGACATGGTCCTGAATAATTTGACCAATGTTAAGGTCTCTACGACGTGCTCCATAGCGCCGCCACCAGTTCAAAAATTCACTTTTCTTTTTCGACTACAGTAGACGTGTTTGATAAAGATGTTTTTCTGATATTAGTGTGAGGTTCAGAGCAGGAATATGGTGATGTAGGCTACAGTATGTGTATTGTATATTCTATAGCCTACTATATTAAATAATAGCCTATATAATTTCAGGCTGTTTGAAAGGGCAATTTTAGATTAGGTTAATATTTAGTATTTTTGTATTACATTGTTTTTTTATATATATAGTTTCTATCCGTCTCTGTGAGGTTTATGTTTTTTTTATTTATATACTTTATGATATAGTTTGAGGTATAGTGTGGTTGTATGTAGGTGTGTTTTGATGGTGAAGCGGATGAGGAGCTTGTATTGAGGTGTATTTCTCTGATGCGTCAGTGGTTGGAGCCTGTGCGCCTCAACACCCACACACACACACACACACACTCTCTCTCTCTCTCTCTCTCTCTCTCTCACACACACACTCACTCTCTCTCACACACACACTCTCTCGCTCTCTCTCTCGCTCACACACACACACACACACTCTCTCTCTCTCTCGCTCACACACACTCTCTCTCTCTCTCTCTCTCTCTCTCTCACACACACACTCACTCTCTCTCACACACACACTCTCTCGCTCTCTCTCTCGCTCACACACACACACACACACTCTCTCTCTCTCTCGCTCACACACACTCTCTCTCTCTCTCTCTCTCTCTCTCTCACACACACACTCACTCTCTCTCACACACACACTCTCTCGCTCTCTCTCTCGCTCACACACACACACACACACTCTCTCTCTCTCTCGCTCACACACACTCTCTCTCTCTCTCTCTCTCTCTCTCTCACACACACACTCACTCTCTCTCACACACACACTCTCTCGCTCTCTCTCTCGCTCACACACACACACACACACTCTCTCTCTCTCTCGCTCACACACACTCTCTCTCTCTCTCTCTCTCTCTCTCTCACACACACACTCACTCTCTCTCACACACACACTCTCTCGCTCTCTCTCTCGCTCACACACACACACACACACTCTCTCTCTCTCTCGCTCACACACACTCTCTCTCTCTCTCTCTCTCTCTCTCTCACACACACACTCACTCTCTCTCACACACACACTCTCTCGCTCTCTCTCTCGCTCACACACACACACACACACTCTCTCTCTCTCTCGCTCACACACACTCTCTCTCTCTCTCTCTCTCTCTCTCTCACACACACACTCACTCTCTCTCACACACACACTCTCTCGCTCTCTCTCTCGCTCACACACACACACACACACTCTCTCTCTCTCTCGCTCACACACACTCTCTCTCTCTCTCTCTCTCTCTCTCTCACACACACACTCACTCTCTCTCACACACACACTCTCTCGCTCTCTCTCTCGCTCACACACACACACACACACTCTCTCTCTCTCTCGCTCACACACACTCTCTCTCTCTCTCTCTCTCTCTCTCTCACACACACACTCACTCTCTCTCACACACACACTCTCTCGCTCTCTCTCTCGCTCACACACACACACACACACTCTCTCTCTCTCTCGCTCACACACACTCTCTCTCTCTCTCTCTCTCTCTCTCTCACACACACACTCACTCTCTCTCACACACACACTCTCTCGCTCTCTCTCTCGCTCACACACACACACACACACTCTCTCTCTCTCTCGCTCACACACACTCTCTCTCTCTCTCTCTCTCTCTCTCTCACACACACACTCACTCTCTCTCACACACACACTCTCTCGCTCTCTCTCTCGCTCACACACACACACACACACACACACTCTCTCTCGCTCGCTCACACACACACTCACACTCTCTCTCTCTCTCTCTCTCTCTCTCGCTCACACACACACACACACACACTCTGAAGGAAAGAAAACCAGCTTTCCTCCTCGAGTTGGGCAGAAGGAGTCGTTTAATCTCTCCTCATCGAGTAATTGATCGCTGGATGTTTCTCTGTGCAGCGGACGCTTTCTGACGGGCTTTAGAGGATCGTGAATGAAGGTGAGCGTCTGAACGCCAGTCTGACACGTTCACGGAGGTTTTGGGGTTTAATCCGCCGTGTTTATCGATACACTCGCCGTCGGTCTGTGGTCCGCGAGCAGATTTAGGGTGTCTTGTTTGCAAAAGTTTGGCGTTTTCTCCTGAATCTCGCTGCAGTGTCTCAGGATCTTTCTCACAAGCTGTCAGCGCTTAGTTTTAGTGGTACTAGTTTAAGGAAAACATCATTCGAGTAAGAGATTCAACTCTTGGAGCACAAAAGCAGTGTTAAGTCGCTGGGGGATATTTGTAGCAATAGCCAACAATACATTGTATGGGTCACAATTATACATTTCTCTTTTATGCCAAAAATCATTAGGATATTAAGTAAAGATCATGTTCCATGAAGATATTTTGTACATTTCCTGCCATAAATATATCAAAACTTAATGTTTGATTAGTAATATGCATAGCTAAGAACTTCATTTGAACAACTTTAAAGATGATTTTCTCAATATTTAGATTTTTTTGCACCCTCAGATTCCAGATTTTCAAATAGTTGCATCTCAGCCAGATATTGTTCTATCCTAACAAACCATACATCAATGGAAAGCTTATTTATCAATTCAAAAAATTGATACTTATGACTTGTTTTGTGTCCAGAGTCATGCATTTGAACATCAAGAGAGGTTTTAATCTGTGTTGGGTTTATAAGTGAATTACCTACTTTTAGATGTTCAAGCATGCATGTTTTGATTAGTAACTAAAGCAAACACATCAAGCTCTGGTTGTTTGGGTTAGCAATTATTGGAAGTTTTTTGACATGTTGATGAATTGCGATTTGATTAGGGATGATTCCTGAAGCCGTTTTACTGGTTGTTTCTATATTAAATGATATTGCATAACTCCCAGGTATATGATTTATTGCTCCTCTTCAAGGTCTTACGAAATATTCTGTTTGACTGTTCTTGTAGATGTTGAGAGATCTGATCTGAACATCATAAATCCATAAGGAGCTGCATTCATCTGCAGACTGAGGTAAGACAATCAGTCAAAGACTTTAGCAATCGGTGCGAGACCGTGTTTTTCGGCGGCTGATGTTTTCATTTTGCCTTTAAATCCTCCAATATTGAATCTTTGGTTAAGTTTTGCTTTGAATGCTTGGTTAAGTTTTGCTTGTTTAATGGCTGAAATAATTGTGACTGTTGTGAATACAGCTGAAGGGTGTTCACATAATGACTGTTATCAGACGGTTTCCCCAAACAATCCCCTCGCCTGCCATTGGTCAGTCACGCAGGTAGCCCCGCCCCCGAGCTCACGTCATTGTTTGAGTCAGAAGTTGGGCCGCTCTACAATCAAATCAATGTTTTTGAAAGCGTTTTAAAGAAGTGCTGGGCAATGATTAATCGCATCCAAAATAAAAGTTTTTGTGTACATAATTATATGTGTATATTTATTTTGTATACACACACATGCATGCATGTACATATTTAAGAAAAAAATTATGTGTATATATTAAATATATTTATACATAATAGAAAATTAAATATAGACATGTAAATACATGTAAACATTTTCAAAATATATACTGAATGTGTATGTCTTTACATAATAAATATACACAGAACACATATATTATATAAAACAAAATTCTAAATTTGAATTCAATCAATCGTTGCCCAGCACTAGTTTAAAGTGTAACTTGGGATGTGAGCAAATATTTTAGCATTTAAAATAAATGACACACTTCAGCCTTCAAGATAAACATGTTAATTTATACTCTGTATTTTACACAGAGCTTAGATAAAGTTCATTACGTCTTTGGGTTCAGGGCTTGTGTTGGGAGTACTGGAGTACTGGTTTATTTACTGGAGTACTGGTTTATTTACTGGAGTACTAGTTTGTTTACTTACTGAATGCTATGCAGTATGTACCTTTATACTGTATGCAATGATAAACAGAGGTGCATAAGACTTGTTTGAGAGCTGGGGTATATTTGTAGCAATAGCCAACAATACATTGTATGGGTCAAAATTATACATTTCTCTTTTATGCCAAAAATCATTAGGATATTAAGTAAAGATCATGTTCCATGAAGATATTTTGTACATTTCCAACCGTAAATATATCAAAACTTAATGTTTGATTAGTAATATGCATTGCTAAGAACTTCATTTGAACAACTTTAAAGATGATTTTCTCAATATTTAGATTTTTTTGCACCCTCAGATTCCAGATTTTGTCTGATCCTAACAAACCACACATCAATGGAACGCTCATTTATTCAGCTTTCAGATGTATAAATCTAAAAAAATTGACCCTTATGACTGGTTTTGTGGTCCAAGGTCACATGACTTTTCTGCCGTCTGTGTAGCAGCTGATGCACAGATTCGTCATCCTCGTCCTTGGATCTGATCTGATCTGACCTGAGTGAATCGGTCTTGAATCGTAGCGTGTGTTGTGATATCCGTGAGTATCGTGTGTCTGATAAGCGGTTCTTTGGGAGCGTGTCGGCGGCTACAGGAGTCATTTATACTGCGGCGTAATGAGAGAAAGCCATTACAGGCCCGATGTGTGTTTTGGGTGGGATTTCTAAAAGCCTGCGTGTGGGAAAGTGCTCATTTTGTCTGTGTGGTCTGGCTTTGGCGGCTGTAGGCTTGTTTGAATTAAACCCAGTGGGCCGGCGCTGTTTGACTGCTTTTATTTCACTGTGGCGTCGTTCGGTGTGAAAGCGTGCCACGATGCCGCGCTCTGCTCGCTGATGATGTTACGTCATCACAGGTCACTTGAGGTTGATCATTATGGGATTTAATGGCTGATTCCAATATTAGAAGAGCAGGTGGGCAATATAAAGATTATATTTATCGCAAAATAAACTCGGAGAGTAGGGGTGCACTGTTTGAGGGAAACAGTCTAATTGTACTTTTTTGTTTCTTTTGCTAAAAATTGTGATTGATTTAAAATGTGTCTGTCTTTTTTTTTAATGCTCTCTTTTTCTGTGCACAATTTGGCCAACTTTTTGTGATTTTATATATGTATGACTATAAAAAAAAGTAATAATTATGATATAATAATTATATTAAAAAGTAATAATTTGAAATTAATACATGATAATAATAATAATTATAATTCTTTATTTTTTTATATTTAAAAATGGAAACAAAATTAAATTATTTGCATTTTAACTTAATTTATTGGTTTAATATAATTAATTTTTATTGATTTAAAAAAATAATAATATATATATATATATATTTTTTT